AAGTGGCAGTGAGAAATTATTTAATAGTTTATAGCTTACTCTTAATATCAAATGGTTGGTCTGGCCATTGATTGGTCATCGAAGAAGGGTTATCGACTGATTACTTTTTCACCGTTATTAGCTCTTAATTTAGCTGCGATTGACCTTTGACTGTGCTCACACTCTTAAAGTACAGAGTTAAGGACTGATCAACTCCAAACTGAGTCCCTCTGTAGTTACTTTACGTCTATTATTGCTTTATTATGGCTGGCAAGGACTTTATTTTGGAGTAAGACTAGGTGATATATTGAATATTTACATATTATACATAAATATTATGTATTTTAATTTTTTTGGTTTCACTCACCTTTCTTAAGAAATGTGCAAATCAGCATATTAGCATGATTTCTGAAGGATCACGTGACACTGAAGACTGGAGTAATGATGCTGAAGTATACTTAAATAGGAAACATTTATTTTCAATTGTAATACTATTTAATAATATTACTGTTTTTACTGTATTCTTGATCAAATAAATGCAGCCTTGGCGAGCATAAGAGACTTTTTTAAGCACAGACCCCAAACATTTAAACATACTGTAATAAAATCTCAGTATTTTCGAACATGCCTTGATTATTGTTTTAATCTAGATCTTATCTTAAGTAGATTTTGCCATTATGTTTTATAGTTTACTCTATTTATAGATTTTTTTATACCTTAAAATCTTTGGTAGTCAAAATAATTGTTCCTCCAACTAAAAGAAAAAAACAAAAATATTTTGAACTGAAGATATTTTTCAAATGAAACAAATTGTTACATGGCTGATATATAATATACAGTGGGTATGGAAAGTATTCAGACCCCCTTAAATTTTTCACTCTTTTTCATATTGCAGCCATTTGCTAAAATCATTCAAGTTAATTTTTTTTCCTCATTAATGTACACACAGCACCCCATATTGACAAAAAAAACACAGAATTGTTGACATTTTTGCAGATTTATTAAAAAAGAAAAACTGAAATATCACATGGTCCTAAGTATTCAGACCCTTTGCTCAGTATTTAGTAGAAGCACCCTTTTGATCTAATACAGCCATGAGTCTTTTTGGGAAAGATGCAACAAGTTGAGTTTTGAAAAATTTACAAATAGAAAACAGTAATTTTACTGCATTTTTGATTAAATAAATGCAGTGTTGGTGAGCATAAGACACGTCTTTCAAAAACAAAACAAAACAAAATCTTGCCGACCCCCAAACTTTGAACGGTAGTATTGTTTCCCTTTGAGACTTTGAGTGTCTTCCTTATTTGTGTCACTAGTGGAATTTGTATAATCATTTACATCTATTCATTTTAAGGACTGGTGTCTGGCATTAAAATTGAATTCTATATTAAATGATTTTTAAAATGCTTTATTCAGTAACTGACTCTAAATAACATCACCAGCTGTGTGTTATGGGTGGGGATTTTACGATTCGATTCATGATACTGATTTCACGATTTGATTTTCTCACGATTTTTTTTTTTTAACAAAATTAGATTTAAGACAAACTATAAATGAGTGTCCTTTTATTATTGCTTGGACAAAATGCTGCACATTTCTTTGTGAAACAGAAATATGTCAAATAACAAAACTAAATTGAAATTTTAAAACAAACCCCAAATCTAATCAAATAAATAAGACAAAAAAACCTCTTCATATAAACAAATGCTACCTGTGCTCTTTCCATTCAAAAGTAGACAACCACTGCATTTGAATCACAATCCAAACAAAGATGCTGAATACATGCAGCAGGAGCAGTTTTTAAAATCTAAATTAGATTGTATAATTTGACATTTTAAAACAAAAACAGAATGCTCTTACTTTAGTTTTGTGAAACTAATACTACATAAAACATCTGCACAAAACAAAGACAGCAGAAGCTCTGAATGAGACGCAGACTCACTCTCTGCCAGCAGGTGGCGCTTATGGAACACCAGATACAGTGTTTCCTTGGCTGTAAACAAAGCTGCGCAGCACTTATGAACACTGCTTTAATATGCAACTTACAGAGACGAAATAAAGAAAATACCATCTAAACTTTTCTAAAGACAGTCAGTTCCCCTCAGAGATACATTCATATAAACGTCCACCACCAAATGTATCACGTTTCGTTTAACATCTCAACCGTCTTGAATAGTCACACATTTATATCGATTTTCAACTGGCTCGCGGTGAATCGTTACATCCCTAGCTATGGACAATCATTTATACCTGAATAATGACACTGGCAAACTAATAAATAAGGATGCCAATAAAAGTGTTTAAAAAGTGCACAAAAAATGTTGAATGTTCGAGTTCCAAAAATTCCAACGAATTCCATGTATATTCAGTATAGGGGTGTCGCAATTTACAGGTATTGACGATAATTGTGATATTTAAAAAATATATATTGATATCATGTTAATCAGTGTTGGGGAAAGTTACTTTTATAAGTAATGCATTACAATATTGCATTACTCCATAGAAAAAGTAACTAACTGTGTTACTTTTTGTCACCTGAACTGGGCTTGCTTACTTATTTTTAATAACCAAAAAAATCTAAAGTTATATTTTTGGCAACTGTAATGGTCCTTTAACACCAAAAGTGAAATGAATAAGCCTCAGGCTGAAGGAAGTGCCTCTGCCTCTTCACATCAGTCCCAATTTCTCTCAACACGAGGACAGAAATGGTGTTACTTGCGTTTCTTATTTGAAAAAGTAACTCAGATATTTCTGCGAAAATGTAAAAGTAATGTGCTACTTTACTAGTTACTTAAAAAGTAATCTGATTACGTAACTAGTATTACTTGTAATGCGTTACCCCGACACTGATGTTAATACTGAACATATGATATTATGTAAATAATCCAGCACCAGTAACTATCTGGTTGACTCTCCAACATAGTAGGTTGACAGTATTGGTGAACAGAACAGAAAAAAACTACGCAGTATGTAGCTACTAATGCTGCACAAAATCATCTCAAAGGAGATGACAGACAGAAAAAGTTGACATGCCAGTTTGGGAGCTTTTTGGATTCCGTAAAAAAAAAAAGATACTCCAGTGTGCAGGAAGTGCCAATAAACTGTAAGTGTTTATTTATTTGATCTTGTACACTTTGGTACAGCTAAAATCTGTTCATGCCAACGACAAACTATAACAGTAACTATTAAACACTAAAACGATAACGGTAATGATAAAAAATGTACACAAAATGTAGTGAATTCCACATCACAGCTATAAAAAAAGGACTGAAATTACTGTCAGAATTATTTTTTCCAGCTCAGGCATCTATAACATCAGACGAGAAAACTGCAGAGCGTTTTTATAATAAACAGAACAATAATGTGCGTTGGTGTGGATGCCTGTGAAGTTATGGTTATAGTTATTGTTCTCATATAAATGGGCTTTTATGCTTACTGTCATGACTGTGTAGATTTTGTTTATGTTTCATGTTCTAAATTCATGTCTTTTAGTTTGAAGGTTAGTTTTGTTCATAGCCTTAGTCTTTATCACTTCCTCATGTTTCCTGTCCCTTATGTTCCTGTTTCATGTCTTAATTGTTTTCAGGTGTTCCTTGTTAACTCATTAGCTTGTGTATTTATAGCCTTCATGTTTCTCTTTTCTCTTGTTGAGCTTTGATCAGTGGAACCTGCTGTTTGTGAATTCTGTTCTGGTTTCTGGTCAAGTTTGTTGAAGTGAAGTTCAACTCATTATTTGGTTCCGTTTATTTTCTGTTTGTTTGACGCTTTTTGAAATAAACTGCACTTGTGTTCAACTCTGCTCTCCTTCAGTGGACTCAGCGTTACACTTACAAACTCTCTCTCCATGTCTCTACCTTCATGTTTTGAGTGTGATTCATAGGCCAAAAAATGGAAACACAAAATAAACAATGTTTAATAAGACTTGGTAACACTTTACAATAAGGTAATATTTATTAACATTAGTTAACAAACTAACAATGAAAAATACTTCTAAAGCATTTATTGATCTTCGTTAATGTTACTTTTATCATTTACTAATACATTATTAAAATCAAAAGTTGTATCTCTTAATATTATTTAATGAGCCTGAGGTAACATGAACTAACAATGAACAGTTTTTTTTACAGAGCCACCAAACGGAATTTACTGTTTGAATTTCTTAGGAAAAATTATGACTGTGTTTCATATCAGAAATAACCTGCTCTGTCCTGTCTGTTGACATGTTGTCAGTGTCCTCTTTGCTCCGTGATGTATTTTTCACTGCGTGAGAACATGATGTGTGGCGTGAGAGTGCCATGGCTTGTCGAAACATAGCAACAGTAACTAAGGGGGGCGGGCCTTTATGAAGGGTCAATTGCCATTCGATTCTATGTAAAGAATTCTAGAGATATAAAGTGACGTGACATGTGGCCAAGTATCATTACATACACACTGTGAACACACACCTGGAGCAGTGGGCAGCCATTTATGCTGCGGCGCCCGGGGAGCAGTTGGGGGTTCTATATTTCTCTAATATGTTGAATGCATAACGCAGCAGCGGCACGTCTCGTGGGCGAGACTAACAAAACATTCAAATGCAACAACGTCACTCACATCAGTATCACCGCATCTCGTGCTCCACTGATGACGCTCCCTGATGCACACCTAACATGCAAATGTTTATTTTAAATTCGACTAATATTCATTCTTTATTCACAATCTCCTCATCACAGGTAGGCACAGCTCTCATTTCAGCATGTTTTGGTGTTTGTGTGTGCTGTCTGCGGCACTCATAGCACATGCCTATATCGTGCGCTTTATCAAAAAATTTTTTATATCGATATCGAAGAAGGTGTAGCGTCGATAAATACCGATACCGTTTTATCGCCCAGGCCCAGCACTGGGATGCTGCTGTTTGACAGGCAAAGAACAACTACATAAAGAAAGGGTATTTGATCTTCAGTGAGAAGAATTGCATGGCAATCTTTCTTTCTCTCTCACACACATTCCCTCTCTTCTCTCCTCTCAACAATGTTCAGGAACGCCTGTTGCTGTCTGTTTTGCCAAGGCATGTCGCCATGGAAATGAAGGCTGACATCAACGCTAAAAAAGAAAACATGATGTTTCACAAGATCTACATCCAGAAGCACGACAATGTCAGGTGAGCATTACTGTTATGGGTCAAACTGTGCCACATTTAACCAGGACTGGATTTGATTCGATTGCGAAAAGCGATTTAATCAAGTGATCTAGGACTATTTAGGATATTATTGGTTTATATTATGTTTCCCACCCTCATGGCCTCATGATGTAATTAACGTCAGCACAACAGACAAGTTGTTTCAGAGGTGGAGAAACTCATTATATTTTCGGGTGAGACTATGAAAACAAGCATATGTTTTTCTTTAGGTTAACATTTAATTCATCAGTAAACTCCCTATAGAATGACAATTTGTCTCAATATTTTTTTCTCATTATTTTGTTGAAGTGCATTTACAACTTGACGACCCTTTGACTATTAGCATTACCTTTTAGCTAAAGTTGCTCACCTGCTTTTTATCATCTCTTGTGGCCGTGTGGCCCTTTCTTTGCATTCTTCTTTCCCATCTCTTTTACCCATTTCGTCTTTGCTTTAGCTCTGGAAGCTCGTAATAGAAACAGTGGGGCTTTTCTTATGAAATGTGGTCTGCTAATTATGGCGAGAGAGGGAATAGTTAATTATCAGTCACTAGACTAGAGCTAACCCCAGAAGATACTGAAATGAAGCCATGATTCAACTAAAGCGCTCCATAGCGCCTGCTCTCACACAGCCTCAGAGTGAATTTCCCCTCAGCTCAAGGGATTCACACACTCATACTGTATACTTTTCTACCTACAGTTATGTTATTGACCTCTATGTTTCCAAACATAGCTTTTTTTATCTCTGTCTTAATTCATTGTGTTTTATTGGCATGACTGTTTCCTGTGAAATATTACCAAAGCATTTAATCAATGCAGGAACATTTTAGTTAACAATAGACTTTTATGTTGTAAAAGACAAAGCAACAATTCATCCTGTTTAAATCTCTTTCGCTCTGTCTTTGTCAGTATTTTGTTTGCAGACATCGAGGGTTTCACTAGTCTGGCGTCGCAGTGCACGGCTCAGGAGCTGGTTATGACTCTAAACGAGCTGTTTGCCCGCTTTGACAAGCTGGCTTCGGTGAGCACATCTATTAACACATGCCTAAAAGATGTTTCTCAACTGGATCGTTGATGCAGCATCGTCTGTTTACAATAGACCAATTTCAGTGTTTGCAAACAGTGATGACGGTTTTTGTGGGCAGAGCCTATCTGGTGGCAGAAAATGACAGTTTTAACGTAGCAGTCTATTCAAGCCATGGACTAAAAGAATAAAAAGTGTAATTTTGAGTTTATATTTCAAAATTCTGACTTTTTTTTTCACGCAATTCTGAGATTATATCTCACTATTCTGGTAAGAAAAATCAACTCGTCATTCTTTTTAGTTTATAATCCCACACTTCTGCCTTTTTTTCCTCAGAATTGACAAACTCGCAATTGTTGAGTTGAATCAAGTTATGAAGTCCGAACTAGGAGATATAAACTTGCGTTTGCAAGAAAAGAAGTCAGAATTGTGAGATATAATAGGTAAATGTTATGTAAAATGTTACAGGTTTAAATACTATTTCATGCATGTATTTCAACTGTAGGGCTAATACAATATGTCCCCTATATGAATATTATATAGACCTATTGTTTAAATCAAATGTATGCTTTAAAAGTAGGGTAATCATATTAGGTTTCATCCATAGTCTGTCCATTTAAACATCTGCGTTTAGCTTCAAACGGTGTCTTTGACGACAGTATTATATAAAAATGATTTGCATTCCGATTCTGACATCCAAAAGCACAACAATACATTTTTCTCTTATTCCATGGATTTGACCTGTTTCCCTGCACTTGTTCCCAGTGTTTTTCTGCCACCACAATGCGCACGCAGCTGCAAGTGACGTAACTGTGACGTCTACTCCAAATTGCTCTATAGTGACAACATGAAGTCTATATTTAATAAATTGTTGAGATTGCTAGATATTAGTTCAACATTACGCATACAGTTTTCACGTTTTCGTTTAAATATAATACACTTTTTTAAATGATAGAAAATAGAAAATACACTACTGTTTTGTGAACATGACTACATTTAGTAAATACTGGATTTTCATCAAAGAATCCTGAAAAAAAAGTATCACGGTTTCCACAAATATACTAGGCAGCAGAACAGTTTTCAACATTGATAATAAGAAATATTTCTTGAGCAGCAAATCAGCATATCAGAATGATTTCTGAAGGATCATGTGACACTGAAGACTGAAGTAATGCTGAAAATTCAGGTTTACATCAGGAATAAATTACAATTTACTATGTATTACAGTAGGAAACAGTTATTTTAATAGTTATTTTAGTTATTTTATTTTAATCAAATAAATGCAGCCTTGGTGAGCATTAGATACTTATTTTAAAAAGAAACATTACAAATTTTACTGACCTCAAATTTTGAACTGTAGTTTTCATATATATAAAATACTTGAATAATTGGTTTCATTTTGTACTTTCTGATGGGAGTCCTGATGGGTGCTGGACGAAATGATGAATGTCAGCAGCATTTCTAATGTAGCATTCCTCCAATCATTCAATCATTTTCTGATTATTTTAAAAACAATTCATTTGAGATTGAAACAACCCTACTTCATTTTGCTCTGCTTTGACTTCTCTTAAGACCTGTTACTCGCTGTAATGTATGTCCTTTGTCAAATCCATTGTCAAAGGTTTCTGTTTGTTCTCTCACTGAAGTTTTATCAGTATTGACACGTTTACACATGGTGTCACATGCACACACAAAAATCACACACTCTGTCTGTATCACACACTAAGCAGAATGACTACCCTCTTTTTACACCTCAGCGTGAAGCTGCCATCTCCCCAGCTTGAACTTTCTAATTAACTTCTGTTCCCTTTTGTGTGTGTGTGTGTGTGTGTGCAGGAGAACCACTGCTTACGGATCAAGATCCTGGGGGATTGTTACTACTGCGTGTCAGGGTTACCTGAGCCCAGAGCGGACCACGCTCACTGCTGCGTGGAAATGGGGGTGGATATGATTGAAGCCATTTCGTAAGTCTCTCTTAGTTGTCAGTTCTTCGGAACATCAACCTTGTGATATTTATTTCATATGAACAGTTGTGAGGTTAAATTATCTAATTTTTGATAATGATCTGTGAATTTAATGTTGGATATTAAATGTTTTATGTCTATTTGTTTATAAGGGATTTGCGAACAAAATGTATACAGATTTGTATGGTAACCAATATTATTTTTATATTAAAGTTAAAGTGAGACCCCGACAGTTGGGGAAAATGACCAGGTGTTTTTATTATTTAATGTAATTATTCATATTATTTTATAATAGTTATTGTTTAATAATAACTATTTATAATTCATTCCACGAATTAGATGCAAATGTATAGATATATATTGCAGCCAGTGTTGTTATTGTTATTTCAATGTATGTCAATTGAAATAAACCAAAACTAAAATATTAATATTAGATAATAAACTTAAACAAAACTTAAACAAATATGAGAAATTCTGCGTCAGCCAACTAACTGAAATAACTAAAAAATAAGTTGAAGTACTAACATTTCTAAAACTAAAATAAAAATACAATTTAATTTAAAATAAAAATAAATAAAAATGACAAAAGCACATAAAAATATAACTGTAAGCAGCGATTACCGGGGTTCAAGCTCTTGGTATTTAAGCACTTAAGGAAAAAGACATTACATATTATTTAGCAAGCCTGTAACCACCTAAATCAATTATTAAAAAAGCATTTTTGTCAAATCCAGGTGATTTACCATAGAAATATGATGTTTTTATAATGTTTATGACTGTTATAGCGCCAGCTGTGGTCCGATCTCCCTGAAACTTTGCATGCTTGTTTAGAATCACCTGTCGCATGAGCTCAGCGGGTTTCGTGAAGTTTTGAGTTTTCGTTGAGGCTTTATAGGCTTTTGGGTATATTTGGATAGGCCCCTTTTCTAAAGGACCCCGTTATAGCTTCCCAAAGGGTACATTTCGACATGTTTTTGATAATTATTGACCTAGAGAGTCCAGAGAGTTGCACTGCGGTGGTTTTTTCCAGATTGATCGAAAAACCTAGGACTAGTTCGCAAAAGTAGGTTTTTCACATCTTCTCAATCCTTTAAAAGATGGTTTGATTGCCAGCAGTGGTTCTAGAGGCAAAGTTGTTTGGAACGAAGAGATCTATCATACGAGATGAATATCACGTGTATGTGCGGAAAATCGTGCAATGTAGAATCGTTTACGCCCTAAAAAAAATGCAATACCGCCCCCCAGGGGCTGATTTCTTTCAAATTTCTCACTGACCACACAAACTATCGGCCTCTGTTAGCCTTGTCTAATAGGTGCTCAAATTTTGTTTGCGAAAAGAAAAGTTGGCGAATGGCGGCCATGTTTTTTTGAGATACGCAAATGTCCCCATAGACACTTGTGGCACTTTGGACCAAGACCGTGCACAGTGATTTTCATGTTGATATTACAAATGGTTGCCTATTTATAGCCATTTTTTCCCTCTTACAGCACCACCAAGTGGCAAAAATATGTTTCCCTGTGACCTCAGCTTGAGCTCTTACATAAGTGTTCCAAGTTTGGCGAAGATATCTCATTCCGTTTAGGAGTTATAGGCATTTTACTAAAAGTGGCCCTGCCCCCTTCAAGCGTTTTGGCGTCCCTGGAGTCGCAAGTTCACCTTTTTGTGATAATTATTGAAATTCACTCTCCAGAGAATCTTTCTGCATTGGTTTGGTTCCGATCGGACGAAAAACCTAGGGGTAGTTCGCAAAAGTAGGTTTTTCAAAAAATGCGAAATACCAGAAAATTTCGCCAGGCTCACGATCGAATCTGGCATGCGGTTTTTTCTGGCATGAGCCAAGGATTCCAACAATATAAGACACTTGAGCCTGCGACTAACGGTTTAGGAGTTATGAGCGATTTCGTACTTTTGATCGCTGTAGCGCCCCCATCAGGCCAATTGGGGTGAGCCTCGATCACGTTGTAGGCAGTGTGAGTACTACTATCCCTCCAAGTTTCAAGTCTCTACGACTTAAGGTTTGGTCTGCATAATCAGTTTTTTACATGGAAATCGCTCATCCGTGACCATTCTAGCAATTACAATAGGGTTTCAGCGCTACGCGCTTGAACCCCTAATTCAATTACTAAAACAAACCAAATGTAAAATCAAAAACTGCTAATAAAAGCTAATATGGACTACTAGTATGTAAAAATAATACTAAAATAACACTGATTGCAGCTTGTGATTTATTAATAACATGTTTGTGTTTGTGTCAGATTGGTGCGAGAGGTCACAGGGGTCAATGTAAACATGCGGGTCGGTATCCACAGTGGTCGCGTGCACTGTGGAGTTCTTGGATTGAGAAAGTGGCAATTCGACGTGTGGTCCAACGACGTCACACTGGCCAACCACATGGAGGCTGGAGGCAAAGCCGGGTGAGAGTCAGACATGTAAACACAGCTACACATAGCACTGGGCAGACTGTTTAGTAAATGTACCATTAATGTAACATTAACATTGTTGACACAGCTGAACCTGGTTTTATTCCTCAGGAGGATCCATATCACTAAAGCTACTCTGCAGTACCTGAATGGAGACTATGAGGTGGAGCCAGGTTTTGGAGGGGAGAGGAATGCCTATTTGAAAGAGAACAGCATTGAGACCTTCCTAGTATTGGGCTGCAGTCAAAAGCGGGTTAGACACGTCATTTTGTGCTGAGTTTATGCTACAACATTTTTAAGATGATTGTGCTATAACCTTTACCATCTTCAAATGTCACCAACAAGCAACATCTCTGCTATATATATATATATATATATATATATATATATTAGGGATATGCATCTGCATCTCTCAGGCCGATATGATACGCATCTCAATGCATAGCCAACGATACGATACATTAAAGATACATATGAAGCAGCTACCGATGCGATACGATTCACCCCTATTACTATGCAGTGCGATCTGATTCCGATTCGATTCGATTCAACACAATGCGATTCGATGCAATGGAGAAAATATGATCAGTTTTAATGCCTTGAGGCCTGTTTCATAAAACAAGTTAACCAAATAAGCCAGGCTTATTTCAGTTAGTTGGTTCCATAAAGCAAATGTAACATAGGCCAAGATCAAGCTGAGTCACTGTGGCAACTTATGCTGGGAAACTAACCTGGTCTAAAGCAGGGTAACTGTCAGGCTAAGCTAAGCTCCTCTACTGACCAATAGGAACATAATGATATTACCACTGTCTCAGTTTATAATACTACTATTACTATTATTATTATTACATACTATTATTTGACTTTTTTATTTTTGTACAGTTTCTAGCCATGCAGCCTTTCTCTCTGGTTGTATTACAGCTGTACCTTTTATAGTTTGCAGAACAGATAGCAAAACATTAGAATATTACAATCTAAAATGGCTCTTTAAAGCATTAAAATAACTAAATTAGAATTTAAAATCACTGAATTAAAAATTAAAATAAATAATAAAAGAAAATGACTACATTTTAACTGCTATAAGAAACACACATTAACTCATCTGAGCTTAGTAATTAGTACTGTATTAGCTTACATTTGATTTACTTATTACAATAGTCCACTTACAGTTACTGCTATCATAAAAATACACTTTATATGTAGGTTTAAAATTCTACAAAAGAGACATTTAATGTCCAAAAACAAATTTTTTAGCAAAATGTATATTTTACTCAGAATTATTACGCTCCTTCTGTTTAGCGTGTATGCATGCAGCTGCGCTCGTTGCTCTCGCGTGCCTCGCCCACTCCTGACAGCAAAATGGATATGTTTGCTTGACTTTCTAACATTTACAGATGAAAAATATACTTGTGACATGTCAGTTATGCACTGAGGAAAACACAACGTCTCAAATGCATTAAACAGCACAGATATATTCGCTGTTTGTCATGGTGGATCGATTTGATCCATGATCGACATTAAGGTCTGCTTAAGAATAAGCGTGCACAAATTAGTGAGATTGTGTGAACTTAATTTGTCATTTATGGAACTGCTTTAGCCCCGATTGATTTGTTAGGTTATTTCAGGTCAGGTTTTGGACTTTAATCCCAGTTTTTCCTCGGGTCTCCGTGGTGTTGTGATTCGTTATGTTCACGCAGCAGCAGTGACGCTTGAGAAACAGTTTAGAGAGGAGAAATCAATCTACATATAAAATATTGGTCACAGATTATTGCTCAATTTCTAAATAATAAAAGTATAGCGCATCTACTAGTAATTATATATAAATAAATAATTTTTTACCGATGCAAATATGTTAGAAATGATGCATCGCGATTAATGACAACTTGTAGCCGATGCACACTTTTTAAACCGATGCATCGTATCGTTAACTTTTTATGCCGATGCACCGAGCGAATCGGGGAATCTTCCCATCCCTAATATATATGTATATACTATATTTACTATATATATATTTATTTATTTATCTTTTTTGTATAATGGGATTTTTTACGCTGCAAAAAAAACCTTTTTGTTAATGATTTTTCTTTCTTTTATGGTAAAAAAAAAAAAGTGATAGAATGGTAGAAAATGTCTTTAAATATAATGAGCCAAGTCAAAATTACTGTGCTGCTCTTAAAAATTTAATTTATCACAAAATCTCAAATTAAATTGATATAGTTTTATACTGTACATTATAATGTTATGATTTGTGATGCATAAATCCATTTGTAACGTTTAAAACAATGGATTTTAGTCTTTATTTTTTATTATTATTTTTTTTTTTTATAAATTTCGACATTTATTAATGATCTTGCATAACATGAAACAACATGCTTCTCTTTTATTCAAGAGCACAAAACTTTTCCTTTGCCCTTGACTGTTTCAGAAAGAGGAGAAGGCCATGATGGCTAAGATGCAGCGCACGCGGACGAACTCCAACGAGGGTCTGGTACCGCGATGGGTGCCTGACAGATCCTTCTCCAGGACTAAAGACTCCAAAGTCTTCAGACAGATGGTGAGACCCCACATGACCTGTCGGTCAATCTGTCACCCACTCCCTGTGACACTCGCCTGACCTCTCTCTCCTCTTCCTTCAGCCGATTTCTGCCTTTACATGCTTCTTTCAGTCCTCCTACATTACTCTCAGATCTTTCTAATCTTCATTTGTTTCTCCTCTTCACTCAGGGCATTAATGAATCATCCAGCAAAGACAAGTGAGTGATTTTTCTTAGCTTTAAGAGAGTAAATGCAGTGGGGGGAAAGGGAACACAAAAGGCAGAATTAGAAATGTGCTTTTCTAACTGTTTTTCTGCTCACAAATGCAGCCGTGGTGCTCAGGAGGCGCTGAACCCCGAGGACGAGGTGGATGAGTTTTTGGGCCGTGCCATTGACGCTCGCAGTATTGACCAGCTCCGCAAAGACCACGTGAAGAAGTTCCTCCTCACCTTCCAAACCTCCAGCCTGGAGAAGAAGGTCAGACTCAAAGACGCTGGCTGAGATCCAGCTTCCCGTCCCGATCACCCCACCCTTGACTAACAGGATGGATGAGATCATCAGAGATCAAATGTCCTCCAATTTCCTGTTTGGTATTTAAGAAGAAGAAAAGTAGACTGAATTCTTCAGAGTTGTTCAAAGCAGTTTTTAACATGTCATTAGGTTAACGGAGTTTTTTTGGTGGTAGTTAGTCATTAGCAATCAGCAATAATTCACACAGCATTCATTTTTGGCACAGATTGGTAAACAAACATATTTTAATATTTTATTTTCTTGTCTTGTTTCTAGTATGCTAAGAAGGTAGACGATCGTTTTGGCGGTTACGTGGCCTGTACTCTGCTGGTCTTCTGTTTCATCTCTTTTATCCAGATCGTCATATTCCCTCAGTGAGTGGGAATATGACACACACACACACACACACTCACACACACTTACTTAAAGGGACAGTTCATCCCAAAAATTAAAATTCTGTCATCATTTACTCACACTCAAGTTGTTCATGTTCAACGGTCATGTTTACCGTTGCTCGATGAAATTTTGTGAGCGAAATCCTGTCATTGCAATAGGAATCACCACATTTGGGAGTTTCGTGAGGGCAAAAAAGATTCGCTAATTTGCCTTGCTGACCTACAGAAAGCTGCTTGGTTATGAAGCGACTTCTGTGTGAGAAGTCTATTTTGCTAATGACAATAGAACTAGATCTGTTTTTACCATGCTAATGCTAATTGCTAATGTGACCGAACCTGAATCCTAATAGAAAATGTTCTGCATTTTTTAAATTTTGAAAAAGTTATTTTCATACTGTTTTTACAAATGAAGGTAATGATCGAAAAGTAGTTTGACCAATAGCATGCAGGCATTGTACATAAGCGACCAATCGTGGCACGTGAGAAGGGGCCAATCGTGGTCAAAGCGATGCAAATACGCGTACATATTAGGTGTGTTCGAAAAAAAGAGGACGTATGGTCGCCCTTCAAAAGAAGGTTTTGTCAGGTTTAGCTCACTTCTGCACAAAATCTGTACAAATTTGTCCCCAATATATGGCTAAGTATGTACACAGATGCACACACTCACACACTTAACATGAATCTGAAACCTACTCTATGTTTTGCAGTACTCTGGTCATGCTAGGAATATATATCAGCATCTTCATCATTCTTGCCAACATCCTTTTCATCTGTGCCATTTACTCCTGCGTAAAGGTAAGAGGTCTGCTTATGCAGTTTTTCATTCTCTTGCATCTTCTCTTGTACGAACGTGTACAATTGGGCTTTCTTCCCCTCTGTCTCACAGCTCTTCCCTGCTGCTATGCAGACTGTGTCCAAGAAGATTGTTCAGTCTCGCACCAACAGCACACTGGTGGGAGTTTTCACCATCATCCTCGTCTTCATCTCTGCCTTTGTCAATATGGTATGCAGGGCTGCCAAATCACTTCACACACAACATTAGTGTGTCTAACACTTTAGCTAACAATCTTATTTCTTCCAAAGAGACTGTATGGACACAAATGTTACTTAAAATACCAATTCTGTCATAATTTACTCACCCACATGTCGTTCCAAACACGTATGACTTTTTTTTTTTTTGCCAAATATCCAGAGTGTTGTAATCCGTACAATAAAAATAAATGATGACCAGTGTTGTCAAGCTCCAAAAATGGCAGAAAAGCATTAGAAATCTGCAGAGTGTTTATTTTGAGGTGAACTCTCCATTTAAAGGAATCGTTCAACCAAAAAATTACAATTTGCTGAAAATGTACTCACCCTTTAAAGATGTAGATGAGTGTGTTTCTTCATCAGAACAGATTTGAAGAAATGTAGCATCACTTGCTCACCAGTGGGTCCTCTGCAGTGAATGGGTGCCGTCAGAATGAGAGTCCAAACAGCTGATAAAAACATCACAGTAATCCACACCACTCCAGTCCATCAGTTAATGTCTTGTGAAGTGAAAAGCTGTGTGTTTGTAAGGAACAGATCCATCATTAAAATGTTTTGACTTTAAACTTATGAGTCCAAAATCAATAATAACGCTTCCTTCAGTGAAAATATCCATCCCCTGTTGTCCTCTCACATCAAAACCCACCAATATATTTGTTTAGAACTGTTTTCACTTGTAATCTGTGCTTGATCTGTGCATATTTCTCTCCTGTTTCAGCTTAGACAACTTTTTTCACTGAAGAAAGCAGTAATAATTATAAAGGACTTCAGCCGAAAGCAATAGTTATAGTTAAAATGCATAATGATGAATTTTCTTTCAAACGCGCAGCATATTTATACTTCACATGGCATTAACTGATGGACTGGAGTGGTGTGGATTATTGTGATGTTTTTATCAGCTGTTTGGACTCTCATTCTGACGGCACCCATTCACTGCAGAGGACCCACTGGTGAGCAAGTGATGCAATGCTATATTTCTCTGAATCTGTTGTGATGTAGAAAAAAACTCATCTACATCTTGGATAGGCCAAGAGGGTGAATAAAATTTCAGTGAATTCTCATTTTTGTGGTGAAATATTCCTATAAATGCTTGTATCTATGCCTAAACTGATTATGTATTTCGAAGCCCGAGTGTATGTTTTGTGTTTCCTGTAGTTTTCCTGTGATACACGGAAACTTGTGGACTGTGTAGCAGAGCAGTTTAACTGGTCGTCAGAGATGGTTACTCCCTGTGTGATTCACAACTTGTCTCGCTCTGCTGCCGACAGCCTGAATATCTGTCCCAGCAACACTCCCTCCTGCCCCTTCCCTGAGGTAAAACGTGTGCATAGTCACACTAAGATCAAAACTTGAAACTTCAACTGAAACCGGATTCATGTTTTATCCCTTATGCCTCTTTCAGTATTTCAGCTACAGTGTGCTGCTGACCCTGTTGGCCTGCTCAGTGTTCCTGCAGATCAGTAGTATAGGGAAGCTGGCTTTAATGCTGCTCATCCAGCTCACTTTCCTGCTGCTTGTGGAGTGGCCAGAGGTGGTGCTGTTTGACAACGCAGACCTCTTCGTTACTGCCAATGCCCTGTGAGTACCGCTGCCAGCCTCTAGAGGGCGTCAGTACAGCTCAAACACCACAGACAGAAGTAACTTTGAAGTGGCTTTATGTTCAGAAGATCATTTGAACCATAACTGGAGCTGATCTGTGGTCTGTTGTTTGTGATTATATTCAATAATATAATGGCATTACATTCATTTAGCATTAAAGTATTAAATACTGTGGTTTGCAACAATGTTATTTTAGTATAATTTACATACTATATTATAAATTAGCTTTTATTTTTATATTTTCACGTTTCCATTTGGAGAAGGTTTCAGTAATTTTGTTACGTGCTTTTGTCTATTTTATTGTTTTTTATAATGCTCTATGTTTTTGTGTATTTTTTCTTTAGTTTTAGTTTTCTGGAATTTTAGTACTCTAGTAGTTTTTGATCTAGTATATTTCATCTATATTTAAGCTTTATTTCAATGAACGAAAATTATTTTGAATAGTTTCAGTTTTCAGTTAACAAAACAGGTTTGCAATAATTATAATATATAAAAAATAAATCAGATAAAATAGAAATAATATGAAATATAGAAAATATAAAAATAAATGCTCTAAGGTTTAAGAGTTGTTGGGATGTGAAACTTTTCACTGCATGTTAAAACGAGTGTTTTTTGCTGCTCTTTTTTAGTGTTTTCAATGAAACTCTGCAATGGTGAGACCTAAATTCATCTCTTATGCTTCCCATTATTCATAATTTACAATTTATTGTTTCTATAAATGCAAAAGTGTTTAATGTTCTTGGTTTTTCCGCAGGTCCAGTCTCAATACGACTACTGAGCAGTGGTATGTGCAATTAATACAGTCTCTTTTTTCCATGTCTTCATCAGGTTTTTTTTTTTTAATGATTTTTAATGTTTTCTTGGAAACGCTAAATCAAACACATCGCTGTGTGCTGTGTTCTGTTACCTCCATGCTGTGATGTAAATAATTTATCCTGTGGCTGACCTGATCTCTCTCATTTCAGTACTTTCAGGGTGACTAAAGTGTCCCTAAAGGTCATGACCCCAGTGATCCTGACTGTATTTGTACTAGCACTGTACCTACATGCCCAGCAAGTGGAGTCAACGGCTCGTTTAGACTTCCTTTGGAAACTTCAGGTCAGGGTTTGAGCTTACAGTATTTTGGCCAACACCAAAAGTTTAATCACTAAACTACAGCTACAGATTTTTGTTGTTGTTAGCGTGGTACACTAAGATATACAACAGCATGTTAATAATGTCAAGAAGTAATTTGTTCATAAAATTAATTGAGAATATGTACAAAATATGTAATTTGTCTGTTCCTCTACAGGCCACAGAAGAAAAGGAGGAGATGGAGGAACTTCAAGCCTACAACCGCCGGCTGCTCCACAACATCCTGCCCAAAGATGTGGCCGCCCACTTTCTAGCCAGAGAGAGGATGAATGACGAGCTGTACTACCAGTCGTGTGAGTGTGTGGCCGTCATGTTCGCCTCCATCAGCAACTTTTCCGAGTTCTACGTGGAGCTGGAGGCCAACAACGAGGGAGTGGAGTGTCTGAGGCTCCTCAATGAGATCATCGCTGATTTTGATGAGGTTAGAGATTTGTGTTTGAAAAGAATGAGAGAATCTTGAATTATTAAACCATTCTGTATGACCAATATGAAACTTTTGAGCGGTAGTGTATATTTATGAAAACCTCTCCTCTCTTGCAGATCATCAGTGAGGAGAAATACAGGCAGCTGGAGAAAATAAAGACCATTGGCAGCACCTACATGGCCGCATCCGGTCTTAACGACTCCACCTATGACAAGGAAGGCCGCTCGCATATAACCGCCCTGGCCGACTACGCCATGCACCTCCGCGAACAGATGAAATATATCAATGAGCATTCCTTCAACAACTTCCAGATGAAGATCGGTGAGTTTCAAAACCTGTTTCTTCCGCCAAATCAAGCTTGTGTGGTGCATGATTGTGTGTCAGTAAGCCTCTTAAAATATCACATAATTTGACCTTTTTATGAGAAGGCAATATTAGTTCAGGGTTCATATAAACAGAACTTTCAGAATCTAAAATTGGATTGGATTCATTCAGATTGATGAAAATTAGTGCATGTAAATATACTTATTGAAAATTTGGTTGTTGTGTCACGACTACCCACAAATACAACAGTATTTTAAAATTAATTATTCATGATCTATGTAAAAAATAGTATTTACCTTAAGTTTATTTTTAAAAACCTTCTGAAAATATTCAGATGTGTATGCATCTTATTAAAGGTGTATAGAAAATATGTAATTTTAACTTGAAAGTTATACCCAGTGTTGTTGATTAAAATGATAAAAATGTTACATTTAATAATACTAATAATAATAAATAGATTTATATTAGATAAAAAAAACATTAGATATTAAAAATGTTGCCTTGGCAATTAACTAAAATAAATGAAGTTTAAGTACTAAAGTTAGTAGTGCTGTCAAACGATTAATCGAGATTAATCACATCCAAACTAAAAGTTTTTGTTTACAGAATATATTTGTGTGTGTACTGAGTATATTTATTATCTATAAATACACACATGCATGTATATATTTAAGAAAATATGTTTTGGTTTATATATAAAATATTTATATATGAATATATATATATACAGTGTATATATATATATATATATATATATATATATACACACATGTATGTTTGTGTATTTATATATAGATAATAAATATACACAGTAGTACACACGCATATATTAATATATTAAAAACTTTTATTTTCGTTTGAAAGCACTAAAAAATTTTAAAACTGAAATTAAATAAATATTTAATACTAAAATATATAAAATCTAAATTTCTAAAAACTTTTATTTTCGTTTGACAGCACTAAAAAATTTTAAAACTGAAATTAAATAAATATTTAATACTAAAATATATAAAATCTAAATTTCTAATATTGAAATTTTAAATTAAAAAATGAATACTATAGGAGTATATAAATAATATACCACTAGTATATTATAGTAGTATACTACTACATGACATGAATTGAAAATGAACTTTTTTTTAAAAAACCATTAGAAATCAACATGAATACTAAGGGTACATTACTAAATTGGCGTGTGTGTGTGTGTGTGTGTGTGTGTGTGTGTGTGCGCGTAGGACTGAACATTGGGCCAGTGGTCGCAGGAGTCATTGGCGCCAGAAAGCCCCAGTATGATATCTGGGGAAACACAGTAAACGTGGCCAGTCGGATGGACAGTACAGGGGTCCCAGACCATATTCAGGTAATCCTTCAAGCCTACATGCTCTAGTCATCAGGAGCAAGTGATTTAGAAGTGATTTTCTGATGTTTTACTGGATGTCTTGCAGGTGACCACAGACCTGCACCAGGTGTTGGCCAGTAAAGGTTACAAGCTGGAGTGTCGAGGGGTCGTAAAGGTGAAAGGCAAGGGTGAGATGACCACTTACTTCCTGAACGACGGACCTCCCAACAGTTAGCAGCGCACTAGAGTTCCTTTGGATTCCCACAATTCCCCAGAGAGGAGGATTTCTAGAGGAAAGCAGAAGACAAACAAGTAGCCATCGCCATCACTTGAAGAAAAAACAAAGAAAAAAGGAAGATTGAAAAAAACGAAGCAGACTCCAGACTGGAGAGTCATGGCGGTCGTGGATATGGCTGTGCACCTTGAAGGACGATTGTTTTTAAGCCTCTCCCTCAGGCTGCTTGAAAGATGCAAAGTCTGTTTATTTAATAAAGGCCTTTATTTGCCGAAGAAAAACGCTGTACATAAGGCATTTTTTTCTCCAGTTTTATTTTTGTGTGACATTTTTTTCCTCTGTTATTCTTATTTCAGGAGAATATAAATACAGGTACTCGTGTTTTGTTCGGAATTCCTTATTTATTTTGATCTTGATGTTTTGTGCAAAAAGTCCTTTATGGAACAAGTGTGAAAAACGCATACGCATTTATACCGTACATAAACACGTACGCTCGTATATCTGTGTGTGTGTGTACAAATACAGTATCTGTATGAATTCAGAAGAGAACTATTGACCAAAGACCAAAGTATTTAACAGAAAAGAAGTTGTCAAAATGTTTGTGGAAGTTTGAATATTACGTAATGCTCTGACGTCCTCACCCCTCGATTTTTTTCCTGTTTTCATGACGTCTTATCATTTACAGTAAATTACACTGATTGATTGATGAGCAATGCGGGTGACTGGCAGAGCATTGCGCACCAGATCATATGAAGGACTGAATGATTTCATTTAAAGTCGTGCTTTTCCTTCAGAACGACAAATTCTAGATGGAAAACTGTTTGGAAAAGCTGTGGAACAATAGGGATTTCTTTGGGGAAGTACGACCAGGTCTGGGCCTTCAACGCGTTCTCTAGGAAGACTTCGGTTTTATTTTGTGTGTTCCGTCAACCATTTCTTCTTTTTCCAAAGAAGTATTTTTGGTACAAAATGAAATAAAAGGAAAAAAAGTTTTTCGGAGGCATCTGGGGAAAAGCCACGGCATTGGATACCACGGTACGAGACAGTTTATCGAGATCCAATTCATTCTAGAAGGACTTTTTTAAAACCGAAAGAAATATATCTATAAATTATGACTGAATACTGTGCTTTGTAATCTCGAAGGGGCATAACTCTTTTCACTGTGAGGTTTCTATGATACAACTAGCTGCTTTCTTGCCAAACTAAACAGCTCAACAGCATGTCTGATTGTGGTATCTTCTCTACGATTTTTGTTTGTTTGATTCCCTGAAGTTCTAATGTTTGGGTATTTTGTATGACCTCTGTATCCATTTTTTTAATTCTTATTCTGGTTGTTCTTATCTATTCGATTATGATTCCATTCCAGCTGAGGAGAGGGAACAAAGACCTGAATCGAGGCGTTCAAGCGAATTGGTACTAACTGATCAACTGCAGTCAGTGACGTATGATCGGATCAACAATATTCCCTCCGCCGCTTGTTCTGCTTCATTGTAGTGAACATCTCTTTAAGGAAAAAGCCACATGGGAAAATACATATTTAAACCGTAAAATTCAAATTGCCAACAAAGACTTCTCATGCACTGCGAATTGCAGTGCATTTGCCTTAATTGAACATATTTCAGCATATGATAACAGTGCCTCTTCGTATCAGACGGTCTACAACGCAAACTGTGCAATTCACCCGGTGGACGCGGCGCAATTGCGGCCACGTTCGTTAACTCAGTCACCTCTTTCAGCGTAATGGCTTGCATGATGGCCAAAGCACTGTCTTTTTCCTGCTGTGTTCTTCACTTATTGAAAACTTGATCTGATCGTAGCTTGCTCATTGCATGTCAGTTGATCACGTTCGTACCAAAGGCAGGGGGGCCCTGTTGTTCCGTCCAGTATGTGCAATAAAAGCGTACACGAGTGGAGATTCAGCGTGAGGGAAGCAAACACAGTACCCGATGTACTGCGGACAAGCAGGAGTGTATTGTAGTAATACTGACTCTCACACTGGGGCCTCTTGTCTAGATCAGGGCTGAACGACTCCTGATCGTCTCCTTATTTTCGTTTACCTTTCGTTCGTTTGTTTCATTCTTGTTTTTACTTTATTCGAAGGATTAGAAAAGGGACGAGCTCTTCAACTCTGCAAAGGCAAGTTGAGAAAAGACTCTTTATGAATATTGACAAACTTTCCCCCTCTAAAAATAAAAAAAAATGTCTGTTTTATTTGTTTTTTGTGATTGCTTTTTATTGTGGTTTTGTTTGAATCCCTTTTTAAATTTGGTTTTGGTATAAGCCATTGTGTTTGCATAGGAACTTGAAGGGTTTTATCTGCTTCAAATGATTGATAAGAACATGTCACCTGTTTTATCGCCGTTATTGGGCATAAAAATGGGATCAGATTTTTATTTATTTGCAATTAATGATAATCACTTCCATAATCAAACTAGTATCACTTAAATTAACAATGTGAACTGATTCATTTCAAAACTCTACCTGAGAGTTGCGTGTAAATCAAGATGCCTTGCTCATTAAAGATTTTATGCATGTGATTTAAATACCATTGTTAACGCAACTTAACATGACCCTAGATCATTATATCATCCTGTTGTGGTCCGTTTTTGATACTAACGAAAGAAGATTCAAAACATTTATTAGAGGTCTACTAAAAACTTGACCTCGGGAAGATGTTTCAGAATGGAAACTGCTTCAGGTCCAGTTTAGGCACAAATGGTTCATTGTTTTATTAATACTGGACTTAGCCACCATAATGCATGTATATGCAAAGAACAACATTTAGCACAGAGTATGGAACTTAATTTATTGCACTAAATTCTATAAACAATATGGCACAGCCATAGATGTGTAGTGGATACGCTAGACTTGCATTACTGTGAGTTGTGTGTCCTCTGCACCTCCTGATCTGCAAAGCCAAGTGACACACTGCAGTGTTGAAGCATTATGGGACTGTGATCATCATGTGAACATACTGTCCAACAGACTTATAGGCCAGGAATCAAAACAAGCTGAAGTCTGGGCATGTCATTGACATCTCATTCACAAACCTGAGAAAAGAAGTGAAATTTGCATTAAAGCATTACACATTACTTGTCTGTTGACAGACACACATTAGCCTACATAGCTTCATACTTGGTCATTTGGCTGTTTTTGCGTGGGAAGCGACGGGTTTGAGTCCAAGGCTCCTGGTTCTTCAGGCCACCGCTGGAAACCCACCAGCCGTACTGCTGGTTGTCCGTCACAGCTACACGATACAGTTCTTTAGGAGCTGAAAGGGAAGCACAAGCTCTCACACTGATATCACTTATTAACAGAGAATTCCTCCATTTTGTCCGAGCATAATTACATGGACTCTCAAGAGTAACAGATTGAGTATGTGGGTGTTTGATGGATTTAGTGTGAACTTACACCTCTGAACGCGTCTGCTCAAGTCCTGATATCTGCTCTGGCTGCCGAGATGCAGGTCTGAGGAGTCTGAAAGGAAAGCAACAAACATGTCGGACCTCACTACTGTAGGTAAACAGTGCTGAAGACTTCTCATAGAGTCGCACCAAAGCAACCTTACCTCGTGCAAGTTGGTTCTGAGTAGATGTTAACATCCTGTCCCCAAAAGGGTTCTGATAGCCCAAATATGTGATTCCGAAGAATGCCATAATCACTACTGTATTACGAGAACTAGCTAAACAACCGCGGAAAGAACGAGCTGAACCGAACGAGCACCGAAAAGAGTCGAAGACGAGATTGAGCGCTGTCTTCAAACGCTGGTTAACGTGTTGCCATGGATACATACTTGCACTATCTCCCGTTTATTTATCAGCACTGTTATAACCTAAACCCTAAAGCATTTCGAAGTCATAAATATTGCTTGCTTATTAAATATCCCCTCCGTCCACTTGCTAGTTCGCCGTCCTATAGTTAACGACTTGTTTGTTTGTGGAGGAAATAATCCGAGAGTTAAATTATCCAATGGGGTGCACCTAGTAATCTTACTGCTTGAAGAAAATGTAATACCGAGCCATTTTCTAAACATTTTCTCTGGTGTGTGTGTGTGTGTTTACAACTGAAAGTGGTTACAACGCTTGGCTTCGGTACAGGTAAGCACTTGAGTTGAGCCCGCAGTCCTTTTTATAAAATAATTATTCAAATGACAGAGTTCGCATCAGTCAATGTACAAATACTGATAGCCTACTTTGCTATTTAGTCTTTTAGGTTTGGCTATGTGGTTCTTTTAGAGATTAAAATAGTTATTTAATAGAGAGTAGTAGCTATTTAGACTTCTTCCTTACTCGACATTTCTTTTTTTTATGCCTGTCTGATACTTTTTATGAATTTTTTTTATTATGCTTCCATTTACAACAAACAAACAAGGTACATAAACACATCACATAATCTAACAACAGGTTGAGCATAACCAGTGACAAACACGATCACAATAAACCAATAATAAAGAAGATAGAACAAAAATAAAACAAACCAAAAGGGGCTTTTTACATTAGTTTATACATGCTCCAAACACGAAATCAATTTGAGAGCTTTCTTGTTTTTAACCAATTCTAAAGGTTTGCACAACATTTTAACCTCATTAATCCACTGGTTAACCTTGGGTTTAGATTTAAACCATCTACATTTATGAATGAAAAAACTTTCCGAGACAAAGCAAGAAATTAATAACAAAATCCAACTCTTTGTTTTCCAGACAAATACCAAACCGAATTAACTTCATAATAAGGGGTGGGAGTTCAGCCTCTCTAGACTGTAGCCAGTTCTGTACATCTCTCCAAAAAAAAGTGGCACCAAATCACAACAAAAGAAAACGTGCTCTAGATTTTCAATATTCGTTTCACAAAAAAACATCCAAATGACATTTCAGTCTTAAAAATTCATTGGTCGGATAAATCTCATTTCAAATGTTGACGTTCACCTCCCTTAACTTTAGGAGGAAGAGGAAAATATATATAGCTTTTCCTAATTTTTTTAATTTCCATAATATCAAAATCTTTGAGCATGTATTCCCTTCTAATAGGGTTAGAATAATAAGCCTGTAAAATAAAATCTCTAATGACTCTATTTGTAAAAAAAAAAATGTATCACAAAAATCATAAGCTTCTAAGGAGAGCTGTCTCAGTTCTGGGGAGACTTTGGAGTACAAAATGTCTGCCTGTCTGATACTATTGGATGTATTCACGGAACAGAGGCCGAAGCACTACCAAAACAATGCTCTTCTGTTTGACGCATGCAGGTTATTTTTACCTGCTTTACACAGTGTAGCTTTAAAATAGTTCTGCTGCGTGACAAATGAATCCGCATATTCCATGTTTCACTCATTGTGTCCTTAATTAATATGAGCTCATAAAAATGAATGTCACAATGAAGAACACTCTTGCCGCTGTTTGACATTTCATGTTAACGGCTCAAATTGAAAACGGCACAAACTAATTTACGTTGCAGATTTTTTCAGATGCTACAAATGGCTGAAGTTAGATCAAGTTGAAGTTGAAACCGAAATGTGCTCCAGTTTGGATTGTTTTCTTGTAGGATGCGCTTACGAAGTCCTCAATGTGCACTACCCATAAAACTGAGCATCTTGGGACGGACCATTTTAATCACCATACTATGGATATCACTGCTGGATCTAGAAGGGTGGAGGTCTGCCAGCTACTGGTTTCAAGGTCTTTCCTTAAAGCCAAGATACAGAGGCGTTATGGGTAGGAATTCCAGCAGCATCTGGGATTTTCAGATGAACACCTCTAAACCACCCTTTGAAGAGGCTACAACGTTATCTGCAGATGCCAGGTGTCCCTCTGGGTTCTACAGCATGGAGGAGCTCAGGCCTCACATTGAGAGACCTCAGGAGGATCCTGAAGGACTTGGAGCTGATGGAAAGCCCATCATCACTGGCATCTTGACACCTGCAGAGCTGAGGGAGAACAGGAGGGTCTTTCTAGAAATGGCTTTAACCAGTTTGCCAGTGATCGCATCTCCTTCCACCGCAGTCTTGGTGTCGACACGCGGCCCCCGGAGTGAGTACCATAGGAAGCAGACTGAGTATAATTTTTCATATTTTACCCTTTGATCATGTA